TGACATCACGAAAATTGTTGCCAACACCAGTTTTCCAAATGGAATTTTTGGAGAGACCAGAGGAAGGTGGAGGAGCAGGAGCCTGAGTGGTAGTTGCAAAGGCTTGCGTAGAAACTAGGATATCTTTATCAGCCGGTGTCCCTTTGGAATTATCCCCGATAGCAAAGTTTTTGGTCTTTGGGTCAGGAGCTTTTCCTTTTCCGGGTTGTCAAGTTAACAACCGCGGTCTTTTTTCCTCGACCCAAGGTGTCCAAGAAGCTTGGTTGCTCATATGCTTATCCCTCCATATCTGAAACTGTTGGAACCATGTTAAAATGGAAAACTATACAACAAATATCAAATAAAAAAATAAGTAGAGAAATCATACTCATTTCCAAATCTAACTCCTCTAGAGATTTGAAAATGAACGAGGCGACGCTAGCATAACCATGTGCGTCGACATATGCATTCATAGAAACGACCTCGTGTTGATCTCAACGTCAGACTACTCATTTTCTTTAAAGCGATAGCTGGAAGGAGAAAAATTGTAATGGTTAGAAGATCAATATAAAGGAAATACTCCCTCTGCATCCTCTGAATCAGAGGAACGAACGAACCAGGGTTCTTTTCTGGGTTGAGCAGTGACTTTAAAAAAAAATTCTTTAAAGATCTATAAAGAATAAGAATAAACGTGGAAAAACTTGTGTGAGGTGTAACATCCCACATAATTAAGGAAATGTATATATCTTATTATAAGGTATAAGAATGCATGGATGACAATTAGAATCACGTGGGTTATGTGTTTGATTTTCGAATCCTGTGGTTAGTAGTAGGGAATTATAATGTGCTAGGGAAATTACTTGAATAATTATTATAGTTGCGAATTTACCTTAGACATATGAAATTTAAATGATAAAGTATAATAATGTATTAATTGTAATCTACGAAAGAAAAGAAATTTTGTTGGGCCGAAGCATAAGGCCTTAGAAGGCACAATGTGATTAGCCCAATTTCCCCTCTCATTGTTGAAAGCTATCCTATCTTAGTAATTTCACAAGGTTACTTTCCATTGGGTAGTATTTACACATGGCAACAAAGCTTGATCCATTGTGTATTCTTTTCACTTGTGCGCCTAGGGGACCGTTGGTGATCAGAAAATTCTGATCAAAAGTGATACAAGGCTGTCCTCTTTCCCTCCTTACGTGTAGGACCATCCAAAGCAAGCAAGTTGCTTGTAAGAATAGCTTTAAACATTCACATGTGTGCGCTAGAAGACAACCCAAAAAGGGCATCAGAAAATCTGATCACAGCTTTACTTTATGACACAAAGTTATACCCTCTCTTTCCTTTTTATTTCCACGCACAAAGACTGCACAAAAGCAATCAGATTTCTTGTAAGACTAACCGTAAACCTCACTTTATTTCATGCATCCAATGGTTGATAAATGGTCATCCTTGCATGCATTTGTATTGGCTCAAGCATGTCACACTTCAACCCCATTGGTGCGCTCCAAATGAGGGAAGTCTTCAGCATTGTTAAGACACTTCACAATTTAAATCTACCTCAACTTCATTCTCTCCTCACTCAAGCGTTGCTGAAGATAGAAACCAAGCCAAATTACTTTGTTTTCTTCCACCCTTAAACCGTAGCATCATTAGAGAGACAAAACAAGGAACACCTTCATATCTTTCCTATATTTTCCATCTAAAACCGTGGAGTCTCTTGGAGTCAACCAAGGATTTTTATCATATCTTCTCTCTCGGTTGTGCACCATGGTCCCTAGAGGTAAAACGTTGCCTCTACTTATCATCTTTTATGATTTACGTCATGAGGTTTGAAGGAGACATTCATGACTAACTTAAGTTAAAACCTTTTCTTTCCTCTCCTCTTTTCACATGGTCGGCCTTGAAGAGAAAAGCTTGCTGTTTTGAGTAGATTAAAGCTTGAAGTAGTGTCCTTGGTTCCATTCAGTTTTACCTTATGCTCCGCCAAGAGGTAGGCACGAAAATCCCTCCACCATTCTCTTGTTTTAAATAGTGAAGCATGACTTAGAAAATAGCCTTTCATTTGTAAATTTTATGCCTTTAGGTTCTGTTTTGAGTCTTAAATTAAAAGCTTTTGGGATAAAACGAAAATGATCTTAAATATTAAAGAGGTAGGAATGTTTGCATGTTATATATGTATCTAGGATTTTCCTTGAAACAAAGTTATGACAACAACATCTTATGCACCATTGTAGCGCACCGACTAGAGTAGTAAGTTTTAGGAAAATTTATTCCTTTGAAAACGTTATCGTATATTGACCTTCAGCTCACTGTTTTGTCATAAATTATTCACTGTTTTACTGAAGGAAAACGTTCGCTGTTTTGATAAAAAATGCTCACTGTGTTAAGAGAAAAACGTTGTTGTTTGCTTACTGTTTTAATCACTGTTTCGCTAAAAAAAAAGAAGGGTTGTTTGCTTACTGTTTCGCTCACTGTTTCACTCAAAAACGATGCTGTTTTACTAACTGTTTTACTCACTGTTGCTGAAAAATATTGCTGTAAAATGTCCACTGTTTTATTAGAAAATGTTCACTGTTTTATTGGAAAAACGTTCCCTGTTTTAAGATAAAACGTCCACTGTTTTGCTCACTGTTTTGGGTGAAGATACTCAACGTTTGCTCACTATTTTACATGGAATTGATCACTGCTTTTTTTTTCACGGGTTAGCATTAAAGAAGGTCAAATGAGAGTCAAGAATAATTTTAGAAAAAGGAACCGATTTAGTGAAGTGATGTAAGGATATGTAGGCTTGAGGAATTGTTGTCAAATTATTAAAATTTAAGTGAAACGTATGCTGATTTATTATAATGTAAAATAGGTGCGAAAAATCTTTGAGACGTTCGACTGTTTCGTTGCGAATCGGTAAAGTATGTTTCGACGTACGAGGTATGTGTAGGCGGTATTACCTATTGTGACTATTAGCTAGTGTATGAAATTGTGATGTGTTGCTCACATATGTCCTATGTTATTTTATGATGAGGATATGGCAATGGTAAGAATATGAAATGATGATAATGCTATGTGCATGCATTTTTACATCATGGTGCATTTTTCTGTTGGTGTGTGACTGCATTTCATGGCATGTAAACGCTAGATTCATATAGGCCTTGAAATGTAGAATAGTTATCTACAGGATCATGTGTATGAGCACGCATCATATAGGCACTACCGAGACACTTGGCATCCGTCCGAATAGGCCACAGTGGGATTCAATAAATGAGGGTGCTGTTGCTTGGAATTCCCACTGTGTATGCACGCGCACGACGGTGCTATAAGCGTGATGATGGCGTTATATATGTAATATGATATATGATGAAAAGGATAAATGATGAAAAGGATTTTATGTTTGAAGCGACTGATTATGATTTTGTGCCTAGTTTAATATTGTTGCAGTATGGTTTTGTTGCCACGCTACTGGGATTATTCTCACCCCTTTGGGGCTGCAATTTTTAAATTGCAGGAGGGTGTAAGAGCAATTGAGGACTTGGATGTTTGAGTTTTGCTGTAATTTGCTGCTGAATGGAATTATTCTCTGCTGACTGTTTTAAGTTTCGGATGACTGTATTATATGGTACTTGATTATTTTTGGATGACTGTAAAACTATGATTTATTTCTGCTTTAAGTCTTCTACGAACAGCGGCTATTTTAAGAAAATCTGAAAACGTTTGGTCAAAGGGAATTTTTCTAAATGCTGTATTATCAACAGTTTTCGGTCAACTTATAAGTTACGTTTCAAGGGGCAAATGACCCCCGATTTACTATTATTTTATATGCACGCGAAGCTCCGAGCGTCTACTTTCAGATTTCGGAAACCGTACAAAAATATTTTGAAAGCTCGATTTTATATCAATATTTAAAAGGAGTACGGTTTTTCTTAAATTCTCACCATTTTTATCAGGAACACATTTTAAGTTCTTTTCGTCAAAATCTCCCTTAGATTCAGCTTTCCGCTACAATTTCTCAAGGATTTCCAAAGAAAAAGTTATATCCGTTTCTGCAACTCTAATAACGATTAGCAAACGACTCTCTTGGATGCATACAAGAGAGGGTGTTACACTAATTGGTATCAGAGCAGTTTTGATTCTTGGTGACTGTCTTTGGTTGAATTGTTTGCTATTTGTTGAATTGTTTGATGACTGTTAAGAGTTTGCTGCCTGCTAGATGATGAATTGTTTGGAATATGTGTTAAATTGTCATAGTTAGGATTGTAGCATTAAATAGTAATAGTGACAGATGCACTACTAACTTATCTGATTTGAACTTGAGTACCTACATGGAATTGCTGTCATAAATACCTTGCAGTGAGTCTGATCAGCTCATTTCCTGATATTGTGAGTGCAGAGACATGGCAGGTACTCGTGGTTCCACTCAGGGAAGAACGGGAAATGCGCCTGACGAGTTAATTACCACGATCGGTGGGTTGGCCACTTTTGTGCAAAATATGAGCCAAGAGTGGAGGGACTACCAACAACAGCACCCGAACCAACCCCCACTGCAAGACAATGCAGAACAAATTGCCAGACAAAGGCTGAAGGATTTCCGTAATTTCCAACCACCTGTATTTGAAGGTGGTGACAATCCCGAAGCCGCAGCAAAGTGGCTGCAGATGATGGAGCATATTTTTGAGCGAATGGGATGTCCAGAAGCTCAGAAACCGGATTATGCCTCCTACCAGCTAACCGGAGGAGCATTAACATGGTGGACTGGCGCTAGAGCTCTGCTGCGAGCTCAGAACACTGACTTGACTTGGGCCGTATTCATACGGGTATTTCTGGATAAATACTTTCCAAAAGCAATGAGAAGAATGAAGCACACCGAGTTGCTGTCTTTGAGGCAAGGGAATATGTCTATCAATGAATACATCGCAAAGTTTGCTCAGCTGATGGAGTATGCAAATTTCGACCGAAACATCTATGATGAGGAATGACAGGTGGAAAAATTTGAAAGCGGACTGCACCCGGAGATCAGAAAGCTCATGCTGACCACGGCTGTTCGTACTCTGCCAGAGATCATTAATCAGAGTCGGCAGGCGGAGGACATTATCACTGAAGCAAGAAATTTGAACAGACAACCGGTGCAACAGCAGGGAGGAAGCAGAGTGGGCAGATTCTTTAAGAAGATCACCGGAATGAACAAAGGAAAGGGTCCGCAGATGCAGGCTCGGGCTGGGAGTTTCAAGAGGAATAATGCTCCTGGTCAGTCATCAACAGGACGTCAGGGTTCCAATGCTTGTGCCGTTTGTGGGAAAAATCATGTTGGAGTCTGTTTACGTGGAAGCAACACCTGTTACAGATGCGGTCAGCCAGGACATTTCGCTTATAATTGTCAAAATAATGCTAATCAGCAACCTGCTCAGGCTCGGGTATTCACCCTTGATGCTAATGAAGCTCAGAAGTATCCCAATTTGATTCGAGGTAACATAATTCTTAATGGTTGTCCTATTTCTGCTATTTTTGATTCTGGAGCATCTGGTTCGTTTATGGCAAACCATATAGCTATGAGGATAGGGATCACCCCAACCCCATTACCCTATGAGTTACACATCAGTACCCCCACTGGAGGATCGTGCACAGCCTCAGAAATTTGCAGAGGCGTTCTTTTGATGTATGAGGGAAGCGTTTATACAATTAACTTAGTGGTTCTACCGATTTTCAATTTCGAAGTGATTATCGGTATGGACTGGTTGGCAGAGAACAGGATCACCTTGGACTGTCAAGCAGGGAAGATCATTGTTCCTCCAAGAGACGGTAATTTTCTGCCTTTTGCTACTATCTCTTTATTGCAAACTCGTAAAGAGCTCCTTCGGGGAGCTGCAGGTTATCTCTTGTCGATCGAGGCTGAGACCTCGGCTGAAAAGCCAATTCAAAATGTACCAGTGGTGAACGAATTCGAGGAAGTGTTTCCTGATGACATTCCTCGATTACCCCCCTCAGCGGGAGATAGAATTTTCCATTGAACTTATCCCCGGAGTAGGACCTATTTCCATTGCTCCATACCGTATGGCACCTTTGGAACTCCGAGAGTTAAAGAAGCAAATAGAAGAACTGTTGGCAAAGGAATTCATAAGACCTAGCACTTCTCCCTGGGGTGCACCGAGCGTCTACTTTCAGATTTCGGAAACCGTACAAAAATATTTTGAAAGCTCGATTTTATATCAATATTTAAAAGGAGTACGGTTTTTCTTAAATTCTCACCATTTTTATCAGCAACACATTTTAAGTTCTTTTCGTCAAAATCTCCCTTAGATTCAGCTTTCCGCTACAATTTCTCAAGGATTTTCAAAGAAAAAGTTATATCTGTTTCCGCAACTCTAATAACGATTAGCAAACGACTCTCTTGGATGCATACAAGAGAGGGTGTTACAAAAGGTGGGCCTTTAGGGCACTTAATTTTGAACCCTTTTTTCCATTAAGGGCCACGGCCCAAGGGTCCTCTTGGAGGATTTAAGGCAGCCTTTAATTCATTAGACCCTATCCTTAATCACCTAATGAAGTTTGGATAGTATTAAACTTTAGCCAAGAGGAAATATTTGATGACACCTAAACACCTTATCCCTCCATCATTGGTGCGTTTAGGATAGAAGGAGAATTTTGATCTTTGTAGTACCCAATCAGCCTATGCAAGTTAGCCAAGTGCCAACCAAAAATCTCTAAACCTATGCATGTCCGCCACCTACACTCTCATGGGACACCTGGTTTTCACCCTCTATGTTTTCGACCAAGCTTCTCTCATTCTTCTAAGAATTCGCCGTTCAATGTGTAAAAGAAAAACAATTCCTACACATGTGTCCTTCAAGCACCATAGGGGAAGAATAACACACAACCACCTTTGTTCCCCTTCATCGCCGTAGACACCTAGAGGAGAAGCAAAGAATTTCGTGTTCTATTCTTCCACCTGTTTCCAAAGTTGTGAGCCTCCCAAAGGCAAGCACCATAACTCGTGAAGCATACCTTCTTTCCCTTTGCATAGCCACCCATCCAACCGAAGGCTTGCATCAATTCCCCTCTATTTATGCCCACTGTTGTGAACAACAAGTCTGAGTCTTTTCTGTACATTTAGAACAGAAAACCGAGCCTATGAATTCCTCACAAAACTGTGACGCTCTCTTGAGAAGGACCAACATGCCATCTTTCATCTCGTTCACTCGTTGGTCGGCTGAATGCAGCAGCCAAGGGGACTGCACACTAGCCTCACAACCATACTCATTCTCTTGTTCGGCTAAAGGCCCTCCTTTAAGGAGGTGAGGTATTTGCTCCTTTCCTTGTTCAACACCTTTTGAGGCCATTCTGATCGGGTTCTTTTTCCATTGCATGCATATGTTCTGATCTTAATCTAGCTTCTTCCCTTTTCATGTTATCCCAAACGCTAATCATGGAGCCTAGGAAGAGCATGGGCTGCTTCTCGGTCAATTGTGGTCTTAGGCGTCGATACAAGGAAAAAAGTAAGTGAACTCTCAAGATTGTTCTTTATCCCCTGCTATTCGACCAATACATGTACCCTAGAAGAATGTAATTGTGTTCGGTTGCCCTCATTATTTTTGGTCCAGCCGTGTATATTCATGGGTGTGGTACTTGCAATTAGTTACAAGTAGTTTTGTGAAATGGGTAAAAAATAGAGGACCCTCTATTAGAAGGTAAAAGAGAGTAAAGAGAAAATATTGATTTCATTAATTGTGGTGAATAAATTTGTACAATGAGTGAGCTCTTATATAGAAGAGCATAACAGAAAAGAGAGATCTAGAATATCATTAAAATACCAAACTACCCTTATACCTAATATCTAATACTCCCCCTCAAGATGGAGAGTGAACAAAGAGAACTTCCATCTTGAACAAGAAAAATAAAGAAAACATAATAACCAAATAACATGAGCATAGTAAAGAAACAGTGCTGGAATGAACATCAGCTATAATGTGCTGGGATGGACATCAGCAAAGGAAGGAAGGGCTGGGATGGACATCAGCAACCTAATATGAACTGCCGGGATGGACATCGGCCAAAATCAACTGTTCTGAAATGAAATTCAGCAACATGATCAATGCTCCCCCTGAATAAGAAGCCAAAATAAAGCCAAAACAATGGCAGAAATAAACCAAATACAAGTCAAATCAGACTGGAATAACACCACAAATATATGTGGGAATAAAATCTAAGTGGCGAAATACAAGCCATAAACAGTACATCAGAAAAATAAAAAAAATCAAAATAAGAAAATAAAAAATTATAATGATGCATTGCAGTTAAATCCATGAGCTCCAAGGATCTTCATGGACCTGCAAAATGAGAAGTGAAAGAGAACAAGAAGATAGATCTGAAAATAAGAATATATCAGAGACCCAACAAAGGTGGACGATAACTAAGAAGAAGAAAAAATGGCAAGACAAAAAAAAAACGCAGATCAGAAAATAAAAGACCGGAGAAGAAAAACACAGATTTGAAACATGAACGATCTGGAACAACGGTCAGAGAGTTGGATGATGTGGCCGGAGAAGGAGACACGGTCGGAGATGATTACCGGAACAGAAGAAGACGCAGCCGAAAAAGAGAAGGACATGGCCGGAAGAAGACATAAACGCAGATCTGAAAACTGGGTGTGACCGGCCGGAGATTCAACGGTGACCGACCAGAAATAAAGGGGAATATCTTAACTGTAGCACAATGGTCCAATGGAAGTAATAATAAAAGATGATTTATCGCACGACGGTCCTTTAGATTTGGGTCGTTGGAATGTTTGTGGGGTTGGATGAGAATATACCAATGGAAGGAATAATAAAAGACTAGCTTAACTGTAGCAGCAATTAAGTAAGAAAAAGAAAAGAAAGGAATCGGAAAATTCAAAAGAGTGAACCAGAAGAAGGAAGGAAGGGGAAAAGGTTCAGATGCAAAGGAGATCTGGAAGAAAAGGAGAGAAAAGATACAGAAGCAAAGGAAGCACAGATCTGGAAAAATAAAAGACTCAAAAAAATCGATGAAGAGAAAACTAAAAAAAAATATGATCGCAGCGGAAGCTCCATTCATGGAGGATAAAAATCCTCTGATACCATATTAGAAGGTAAAAGGGAGTAAAGAGAAAATATTGATTTCATTAATTGTGGTGAATAAATTTGTACAATGAGTGAGCTCTTATATAGAAGAGCATAACATAAAAGAGAGATCTAGAATATCATTAAAATACCAATCTACCCTTATACCTAATATCTAATACCCTCCTTTCGATTGTTGGACTGCCGGTGATTAATCAAGTAATTAAGTTTTCATGTACTAGATGTAGAATGCAACACATTTATAAGTCTTAGCACACCATTTGTTTAGTAGAAGAGGTTAAGTAAATAAACAGCCTTGAACATAGCCTTTAGACAGAAAACTAGTAGAATGGCACATGTTTAAAATTGGTTAAATCTCACACTAAAGTATTATTGATTTAATTTAAGTCATGTAAGTGGTTTTATTTAATTAAAATTCTGTGTTCTTAGGGAGTGGTTCTCGTAACCGGTTCTGTATGATAATGGAGGTATAAATTTTATTGTTGTTAACAAGTAGATAATAATTAATTGAAATCAGAATCTGATGCATACTGTTAAGGGGCAAAAACCAATTCTGCATGCTATTGAAATTGTGGATTTTAAGTGTGTTGACAAATTATTTAAGTAGAGTGAAATCAGAAAATTAGTTGGTGTATATGTAGGAAGACTCTTAATGGCTAGCCTTCAGTAGAAAGAATTATGTAAACACAATTCTGGTCATGTGGTTAAGCTAAAAGCCGAACCTATACATGTATGAGACCTTGCGAAATTAATACACCAAGGGCCGAGATGTAAATGATAATAGTAGCTCAATGAATCGGTTAAGGTACTAGGATTAGGAGCATAAAAATTAATTGTTAATCAATCATGAAATTAGTATGAAGTCAAGAATTTGGTTGGTATAAAATACATGTTAATCTGAGTAAAATACAAGAACATTAGGAGGCATGGAATTGGCTTATGAATAATAGGGATCTATGAATAAAATTTTGACTTGTACTGCATGTGTTTAGGTGCAAGTAACTCTTATTGAGTGAGCTGAATTTTGGTGCTGTTGATTATTGATTAGACACGAGGTAAGTGTCTGGCGGTATTACCTCTTGTGACTGCTAGCTAATACATGAATTGTGAACGTTGCTCTCATGTTTTGGATCTGGATTCTGTATACGATATTCGTATTCTGTTCATGGATATAATATGCTGGATATTCTGTTGAGGAGAATAATTGTTATACATCATTCTGATATTGGAATCCAAGAGATATATGTATCTTTATTATTATATAGTCATGCATATACACCTCATAATGCATTTGTTTCTTTTGTGTGTGAAGCATATCATGGCATACATGCACAAATTTCATGCTGCACATGGACTAGAATATTTATATAAATATGCATACGATTGAGCACGCATCATATAGGCATACCTCGGTACAAGGGCAGGGGACACTTGGCTTCCGTCCGCATAGGTTACAGATGGAATCCTTCTATTGGAGCCACCCAGGATTATCCACTGTATCTGTTAGTGTTACGTGCACAGTAGTGCTATGAACGTACACTTATGGCGTTATATACGCACTATGAAAATGGTTAGTACTTGACGGATTTGAACTGATGATGTGACTGTTTTGTAATTATGTATTTGGTTAGTACTGTTGCATTACTGGTTTTGTTGCCACACTACTGGGATTTTTCTCACCCTTTTGGGGCTGCTATTTTTACAAAATGGCAGGAGGACGGAAGAGCATATGAAGACTTGATTATATGGATATTTGCTGTTATGTGCTGCTGTTTGGACTTTGTTGTTGCTGTTTATCTGATGGATAACTGTATTAAATTGAGAAGTTTAGATTATTGTTGGATTGTGATTTTATTGCTGTTTTAAGACTTATTATTAGCAATTATTTTGGAAACAAATCCTGGAAATGTTTA